GAGAGAGAGAGAGAGTAGGACGGAGTCCACATGTGATGAAGAGTGCGAGAGGTAGCTTTTCTAAGGTTTGGACATTGGATCATTAAAAAAAAAAAGAAAAAAAAAAAAATTATAATTTAGATAATAAAAAAGATAAGAAGGGGGGGTTAAATTTCCTTTCTTTTAACTTGGTCAGGGTCAATAGGTTTTTCATATACTTGAAGGGCTATTCGGCATTATAATTACTGAAAATGGGGTATATATCATTTTATCTTTAATTTTTCTCTGGTGCATTGGATTTAGCTGAAATGTAAAAAGTATTTCTAATAACTAAAATGACTAAAATACCTTTAAAATTTGAGGGGTAATTTAGGTATTTTGCTTTGTTTAAATTATTTTTAAATTTTTTGCATATGTACCCCGATAAGGCTCAGATACTCTCCACCTTTTATCTTGGTCTGAGTCCAAAACAAAATAAAAAAAGAAATGTCTCACATTTTCAAAATGACAGAATGGTCTAAAAATGAGAAATATGCTTTTGCATTTTCTCATAAATTTAGTCTTCCATGGAAAACCACATTTCTCATTTTTGAGAATGTGGACCTTTTTTTTCTAAGTTGCCAAACTAGACATTGCTATAATGAATTGGAAAATTTGACTTCCGGTGTTTTTTTGAAGTTGAAGCCCTCTTGGATATTTTTAAGGAAAAAGTTTATATAGAGCCGAGGCTCTAAACAATCAAATTAGAGTCCATCTCAAAAATTTCATAAGAAGAGGTTGTTTTGATGCCTAAATGTCCTCAAATCGATCATCTCGACATCAATATGCATGCACATGAGAAAAAAATTGATTTCAAGTTTTAGAAATAATGCATCTTGTAACGCATTTTTTGACCGTCAATTTTTAAGATTTTCAAGTTTTCATAAATTTGCTCCATCTACACTATTTTTGAAGCTTTAACTTTATAATTAAAGATAAAAATACATTTTAAAGCGATTTTCAATATTGAAGCCATATTTCTCGATACTATTTGAATGTGAGGTTTACTTTGATTGTTTAAAGCTTCGTCTCTATCCAAACCGCATCCTATTTTTAATACCCAAAAATTTTGGGGAAACATTTCCAACCTAAAAACTAACTTTAAAAAGTAAAATCTTCAAATTGCACTATTGTTCGACCAGTTAGATCTTTGGCCGTTGCCTTGGCTGGTTTGTCTCGAGCGTGAATTTTATTTCGTCATAAACTGGCTAAAACAGGTCTGGTTTAGAGCATAAAATAGGATTGGGTTTAGTATTTGACCCATTCAACTGGTCTAACCAATGGTTTTGATCAGTTTGACCTACCAAACAAAGTGGGGAACTTTTTTTCTAATATATTACTTACCATAATATTTTAAAAAACGGTCAACCTGATAGTCAGACTAGTTTTGACTAGACCAAACCTCTCAACAATTCAGTGGCTGGTCTGATCCTTATAACATTGCTCTTGCCTAAAAAATTAACACCCCAAGATTGAATAACGATGGTCTATTTTTTGAAGGATGAGAGAAGTAGAAGAATCAACTTTTATATTTTAGAAAGGAAAACCTTTACATAAGGTTGCAACCTTATACTACTAAAGTAAGTTGAACCTTATAACTCTTCTAAAAGAGAGTGTTCCATGATGTTGGAGAACCTTCTAATGGATCTTGATTTCAACATGTGTGTATATGAAGAGAAAAAAAATTCCAAGTTCTAAAAATAATGCATTTTGCACTAAGTTATTTGGACCATCTATTTTCAATTATTATTAGATTTCTCAATCTGTAATATTTTGGCCATTTTAAATTTCATAACTAAGGATAAAAATAGATTTTCAAGCCATTATAAAGTTTTTTAAATTGGAACTACATCAAGAAAATTTTAGAGGCATGCGTTACTCCTATATAAAGGGGTGAGATTGCATAAGGTTGGAGTGGTAGCAGTGTGCTGCCTTGCCCTAGAAAATTAGGGTTGGGCCACAAAAATATGTTCGAGGGCCAAGCCACCAGAGCTCAAGGATAGGGCCAGGCTAGACAGTGCTAGGGCCAGCCTGATTTTGCTATGATCCTTTTGTTCTTTATATTTTTTTTTTAGTTTTTTTCAATTATTTTTCCATTTGCTCCCCCCCTGCCTAGCCCTAGCTTTGGTAGGATCGGGCCTGCCCTAGGCCAGGGCCTTTAGGGTAGGGCCTGCCCTATGGGCATCATGGCCGAGCTAGCACCACCCAAGCTTAGCATATTGCCAGCAATAAAGGTTGCCTCCTTATACCGTAAAAGTAAGGCATACCTCTAAAATTTGCTTAGAGATGTCATTCTAGTGTCAAAAACCTTATGATGACTAGGGTGGGTGCTACAGGGATCAAGGCGGGGTTAGGGCTAAGGCTGGCCTGGCTTGGCCTAGGCTTGGCTTGTGGTTGCCTCCTTATACTATAGAAGCAAGACACACCTCTAAATTTTTAGTTAGAGATGATATTCTAGTGTCAGAAATCTTATGATGGCGTAAAATATAATTTAATCCCTAGTTACATTTTTTTTTAAAAAAAATAAAAATAAAAAATGGTATGGATCAAGCAAATCAATAAACATTTGAAAACTTGAAAATATAAGGTCTAGATAACTTATTACAAAATGTATTATTTTTTTTATTTTAAATTTTTTTACTTCATGTCTATATATCCTGAGGTCAAGAAGATTAATTGGAAGGTTATATAAAACAATCTCTTCTACAGGATTTATGAGGTATACCTCACTTCAATAATTTAATACTGCAACTTAAATGTTTTTTTAATTTATTTAAAAGAAATCATCTTATAATTTTTAAGTTGAGCTCCATATTGAAAAAATAAAAATAAAATCTTAATGTAGGTTGAGGGTGATCATTGCCAAGGAACTAGGCCGAAACTGGATCGAAAATTGTCGGGGTTGTTATGATTATGCTAGATATTAGGCACTCGTTGGCTCCTTTTTAAAAACCAGCCAGTTCTGACTAGTTCTCTTACGGGTCCACTTTATTTTTGAATTATTTATTTTAAAATTTTTTATTGTCTAACTTTTTTTAAAATTTTTATTCAAAGTTCACGAATCCAAATCGCCAATCCAAACCGATTTTGCGATCCGAATCCCCGAACCCTGTTTTTAGACCTTGCGCGGAGGCACAAACTGCAGTGTGAAGCCGCCCCAAAACTCCAACGCAGATCCAAGATTTGAAAGAGAGCATCGAGGAGGGAGAGAGATGAGCGGGGCGGGAGCTCCCGATTTCTATTACAGGGAGGCTCAGCGCCTTGGCTACGTGGCACGCTCCGCTTTCAAGGTTCCTTACTCCTCGTCCCTTTCTCTCTTGTTTATTTGTTTGGATTTATATGATAGTAGGAGAGTGTTTTGTTGCAGTTGTTACAGATGCAGAAGCAGTTCAAATTGATAACTCCTGGAGCTTCTGTCCTTGATCTTGGATGCGCTCCTGGGGCTTGGCTCCAGGTACTCTCTCTCTCCCCCCATTCTCTTTCTTATATTTTATGTCTCTCTACTCTTTCATCGTATGTCCCCCCCCCCCCCCCCCCCCTTCTTTCTGTCGGATGAGTAATTTCATGGTTTAATTTTGAATTGAAATGTCATCAGACTGATCAACCTCTTTCTAAAGATGATCAGTATTTCTTAAATTTGATCACCATTAATGGTATATATTATTCTTGTTTTCTTGATGAATGATCATATTAAACCTGCACTATTGTACTCAGATATTCCTTTTGTTGGAAGGTAAGCAGGTGGCGGAAAATGTGAGCGCTCCACTTTGAGTTGCTTCTGCAACTTAATTTTAGCTTTCCTGAAAATGTTTGCAAAATGAACTGCACTACTTCTCATTGCATTTAGTGAACAAATGTTTCAATAGCCGAGTCTGAGGTGAGTTACTGAGCCTGCCAGTTCAGGAGTTAAATAAAAGTCAAAAATAAAGATTCGATCCTCAAGACTACCCAATTTTGATGAGTAGTGTCGTTGGACTTTAGTTTGCAGAGACCTAGTGTTTTGCTAGAACTCTCAAACAGGCTTTCATGGTGGTCATTTGTGACCCAGTTAACCCTATTTTATAATGGCTGCACAGTGGCCTTTAAAATATGAGAGGGTGGCAGCTATCCACTAACCGTCTAGAAAAAATTTCTCTCTCTAAAAGGCCTTTATAAAATAAATATTAAATGACAAATTTAGTAAAAAAACTTTAATGAAATAACTCAAATTATATGTGGCACGTATGAGGCCTCTTGGCCACATACATACCAACATCTCCTTCTTGGTTAAGTGGGCTGAATACATCAATATGCCACAAAGTCTGTTGCCACTTGGGCGATTTATCTTTTATGTGCATATACTCCTCATGATGCTTTTCATTGATATTGCCATTATACTTCTCATAACCTATATTCATACATAGATATGTCATAAGGTTTTTCACAGTTGTGGCTTTTCCCCAATGACTGCATTTTACACATAATCATGTCATGGGGTTTTCATACTATCGCAATTTTTCCTCTCATGACCAAGCTCTCAAAATATTTTTTTGGGGAGTTTCTGACTTATATGTTTCTAAGTTCTATCAAATTTACATGCAATGAAATAATTAAACACTTAATAATCTCTTTGCCTTGCCAAAAGATCTGTAATCATATCAGCTGGTGATAAATAATTGATAGTTACTTTATCCTTTTCAATGATGCTATAATTTATAAATAATGATATTCGATTTCAATGTGCTTTCCTTTTGAGCTATATGCTCTATTTTTAAATCCATGAGATGATAACCTGATTATCACATAACATTTGAGCTGGTTTGTTGGCTTATATCTAACTTCAAATCCTTTATGAAGCATCAATTCAAATGGCATTAGTAGTAGCAATGTTAAAACCAACCGACACGGCTTCCATATACCGAGTTGCACAGCCTTGTTTCTTGCTTTAAAAAGAAATACATCCACCTCCAAATAGGACTACAAATCTGGAAATCAATTTTCTATTATCCGAGTCTCCTCCAAAGCTTGCATCACATTACCCTCTAACGTAAATTATTAGTTTGAGAACACAATTTTTAATTTTTAGTTTCTAAATATAGCTGAGTATCATTTTTATGGCTTGCCAATGACCCATCCTAGGGATATTTTGGAATCTACTTACAAGACTGAGTACATAACTCAAGTTAGGTCTTGTGCATAGATAGCATGGTATATATTATATACCCTACAACTTGAGCATATGGAATTCTTTCCATCTTAGCTTTGTCACTAGCACTTGATGGATTTTTTTTTTTGATAATTTCAGACATTTACAAATAGGTGTATCTATAGGCTTATAATTTTCCATCTTAAATCTCTTTATAATTCTCTCATTTTTTTTGTGAGGTAAGCATAGAAGTCTTGAACTCCTTATTCTCTCCCATGTCCTTCATCTCAAGGGGAGGGGGGGGGGGGGATTAAACCTTGATTTAGTATGACAATCATACAAATGTCATTCCAGCTAACAAAATATTATCTACATATCAAAATAAAATAACAAAATTGCTCCCACTATTCCAAACATATACACAATTATTTAATCTTATTGGTTGTGTAACCAACTTATGTGTCTGCATTACGAAAAACAAAGTCCCATTGCATAGCAAGACTGTTTTTCACCATTCGAAGACTTCCTAAGTTTGTATACTTTGTCTTCTTCTCCTTTAATGACATATCCTTCTAGTTGTTTCATATAGATAGCTTCTTTTGATTCTCCATTTAAGAAAGCTATTTTAATATCCATCTGAAATAACTCTAAATCATAGTATGCAACTAATGCTAGAATAATCCCAATGGATGTGTGTTTGGCTGCTGGAGAAAGGTATCTACGCAATCTATACCATCCTTTTGGATAAACCCTTTACCTACTATCCTAGCCTTAAATTTTCCATAGATCCATTTACATCAGGTTTTTTTTAGGACCCATTTGAGAATAATGACTTTTCTATCCTTAGGGAGGTTAACTAACTCCGAAACTTGATTCATCTTAATGGAATCAATCTCATCATTTGTGGCGTGAATCTACTTTGTTGAGTCATGTGACATAGTGCCTTGATTGTAGCTTTAAGGTTCATCTAATGTATCCTTATTTATTGAAGAATAATTATTTTCATTCATTAGCGCATAATATTGATCTAAGGTGGAAGATGGGGCTTTATTTGGTCTATCTGGTACACTTGGTTCTAGGGACTCATTAACTTTAAAGGGAGGCTCAGGAATAGGGTCTTTGAGATCTTATCTTTCTCTATTTCATATTAGTCAATGGATTTCTTCAAGGCACATTCATCCTCTATGTATTCTAAAAAGTGAATATCTCAGCTCTCTACTATGGATCTAGTATCATGGTTATAACTATATAACCCTTAGAGTTTTTTAGTGACTTATAAAAGAGCATTTAATAGGTTTTCTTTGTAGCTTATCTTTATTTTGTGGTGGTATAAGGGCTTGTTCTCAAGAACCCCAAATTTTTAATATGCAACATCCAGTTTCCTACCAGTCCATAATTCATAAGGTGTTAAGTTTATGACTTTGGTTTGGAGACAATTAAGAATATATATTTCCATGCTGATAGCCTTACCCGAAAAAATGAGGGGATAAATATGCAAAGCTCATCATAAACTTGACCATGTTCATTAGTATCCTATTTCTTTTATCGACTACACCATTTTGTTGTGGTGTGTATGATATGGTGGTTTGGTGAGTTACACTATGCTCCTTACAAAATTAGGCAAATAAGTCAGAGCAATACTTACCTCCCCTATCTTTTCTAAGAATTTTGATATATCTACTTGACTGATTTTTTACCCCAAATTTATACTCGTTAAGTATTTCTAGTGCATCTGATTTTTTGTTAATAAGATATACATAGCCATACTTAGAGAAGTCATCTATAAAGGTGATAGAATAATCCATTCCATGTGTTTTTATGTTTAATGGCCCACATATTTAGAGTATACAATGTTAAGTTCATCTGACCATTTCCCTTTGGGATTTCTAGTTAACTCACCAAATATACATGGTTTGTAAACTTACTTGAAATTAATTTCTTCTAAGTTATGGAGTAAACGTCTTTTAACAAATTTGTCCTTTTTGTCTTTATTTGTATATTACAATCTCAAATGTCATGTATATGAATGATTCACATCAACAAGAACTTCAAAAGAAGCATCGATATAAGTACAATAAGAATAATTTTCATTGGTGTTTAATTAATACAAATGGTCAACTTTTGTTCCCCATGCCAACACTCAGTGATATAGGTACAATAAGAGGAATTTTCATTAATGTCCAATTGGTGCAAATTGTCGACTTTTGTTGCCCATGCCAATACTTAATGATGTTTACCAATTGTGACCCGACTTGACCTAAACTTTATCTCACAACTTTTCTCATCTGGCTTTGCAACAAAAATCAAATTACTTCTTGCATAAAAAGTATCAGTGAGTAGGAGATTTGTTCATCTAGGCATACACAACTTGAAGGTTCCGATAGCAAGTACATAACAATAAGTGTCATTTCCTATGTATCCGCTGGTTGTGGACTACGATCTCCCTCAGCTCTATGAATCCATACCTGGTCCTCAAGAAATATCGGGTGGAGGTTGAGTCAATCTACCAATTGTTTAGGTCATGGTCGGTACCCAAAGATTTTGAGAGAATTCAAATCTAGTCTTTCCTTTTATTTATTATGAAGAGCATTGTTATTATTCTGATTCTTAGATTTATTTATCAGTTTGGGCCTTGATGTGTCCACATTCCTTACAATAGAAGCATGCCCTATTAGATGAATTGGGAAAGGCTTCTTTTGATTTTTAAAGTTCTTTGCCTTCCCCTTATATCTCTTCTTATTATTCTACCTTTTATATTTAGGTTCACTAGGGTTTTGGGCAGTTAAACTTTGGGTAAAGTGAAATTCATTCGACTTCTTCTTAGCTCTTCAATTTCAATGCTAATCTGTATGGGAAGGTTTAACATGGTAATGTTTTGTGAGTAATTGTTCAAAGTAATTACCTCGGGTTCCTAAGATTGGGGGAGACTGTTTAGATCAACAGGCACTTACCTGCAGTCAGTGATTGGATTTTTGGCTGCATCAAGGTCCTTGACAAGCATAGTCATTTTGTTGACATGCTCGGTGATTGAATTCATCTATTTCATCCTGCAAGAATTTTAATTTTAAAAAATGAGCTGAACATGGGTCTCAAAAGTAGTCCCTTATTTTTCTGACAAAGCATTCATCATATTTTGGGCTGTGATGTGTTCCTCAAGAACACTAATTAAGTCATCCTTCATAAAGTAAGTGTTATTGTCTTACATGCTTTGTCATCTTCTAGCCATTTTTCTGATCTTCTTCTAGCCTGGCTAGTAGCATCAGGTTTTATGGTAGGTGGGTCTGACTCATGAATATAGTCTACTCTCTCGTGGAGAGAATATAAACAGTCTTTCTGTTGCACACTGGAAAGCCTGTTCCATTCAATTATTTTCTATTTTGTACAAATCCACCATTACTAGCTTAGATGCTGTTGTTCTTTGGGTATGTTAAATTGGCTATAAGTCTAGAGCAAATACACAAAGACAACTAAAGGCAAGCAAAGTAATCTAGAAGTTTTAATTTAGATTTAAGTTGGAAAGGATGGTCTGCACGAGTGGAATCAATGAGTTACAGCTTCTTTGGTTGCTTTTCCTGAGATACCCGAAGCTAGCTATGATAGTTGCTGTTGATGTCGGTGTAGGCTAGGACCAGTGACGGCTTGACAATAGAGACTAATAGTAAGATATGGATCTTAAAACTGTCTTCAGATCAGCAACAAACGCTAGCCCGGATTAACACAAGAACAGCAGTAGTTAAAGAGTTGTACAGCAGCAAATTGAGGTTGGAGTAGACCCCAAAACTGCCTCATATACGAAGGTTGAATAGCAGCGAAGTGAGGCTCAAATCAACCCAAAAACTGTTGCGCACTGGAGTCAATTAGCAGTGAAGTGCTCAAATCAACCCAAAAAAGGTCGCAAAATCGAGGAAAGTGAGGCTCAAATCAACTCAAAAGCAGCAGCGAACTTGCGATTTAAATAGCAACAAAATGAGGTTCGGATCGACCCAGAATCATAGTAAACTTGCGAGTCAAATAATGGCAAAGTGAGGCCGAATCGACCTAAAACTACAAAGTGAGGCCCGAATTGAACAAAACACTAGTGAACTTGAGGTTCACTTTTCGTATGAAAACAAAGAGAGAAGAAATCATTAAAAAATACAGGGGCTAGAGAGATAAAGTCTTGAGGGCTTAGGAGGATATGGGCTGTTTCTCTGGTTAGAATTTCACCAGGAGAAACGTGAGCCCCTTTCTCTCATTAAGAAATGATTTTTAGTCTATTTTGAGAATTGATTGTCCGCAAGAATAGATTGATAGGTGCGATACCTTGTTATAGAACTCATGCTTCATCTAAATATCAAACAGAGTCGACGAATGAATCAGCTTCATTAACAATTCCCAAATTGGAAGTGGCCAAAAGGAAAGCCTCGACTTCCCTGCCATATCTTGCATCTATAGTTTTTCTGCCCTGGGGAATTTCAGAGAGAGAAGGCTTAAAAGAGAAAGGAGCAGCTCTGAAACCACTCTTGTTTGAAGAAATTCAAACAAAAAATTGCTGGAAAAATCAGCAGTAGCATCTAAAACAGGGTGCAGATGACATGAAACTGCAGAGAAGCATAGAAGCAAACTCTTGCCATAAAGAACTAAGAAAACAGAAAATAGTAAGAGAACCGAACTCATGGCCCCGGACCTTGCTCTGCTACCAATGATAGAAAAATAGAAGAAAACATTGGATCCTCAGGATTACTAGACATTAATGGGAAGTGTCATTGGACTATAGATTTTGGAGTTTGCTTGAACTCTCAAGCAAGCTTTCATGGTGCTTTTTCAGACCTAGTTAACCCTATGTTTTGTTGCAGTTATTCCAATATTCCGATGTGCCTAATATCTCCTAGAAAGTGGCCCTCAAAAACTGGGAGTCGTGTTATCCCCTAACCGTTTGGCAGAGATAGTTTCTCTCTAAAAATCCTTTATAAAGTAAATATTAAATATTATTTTTAGTAAAGCAAAACTTTAATAACACAAAGTTAAATAATACGTGGTCCATGTGAGGCCCTTGGCCACATGCATACCAGCATGGAGGGCCCCAACTCGGTTTGGGCCCAATCTGTAGCTCAACTATCCTGAATTGCTACAGTAAGTCAGGCAAGTTTGAGTTCGACTCTGGTGGGTTCTCCAGGGTTTATGGAGTCTGACCTTTTCTTAAATATGGAATGGGGAGAGGGGACTGGATTCTGACCCCCATTGCTTGCTTGTTCTTGTGCCAATCACCATGAAAATTCATACCTAATCTTATCTCCTCTATCCTCTATAAATTCCAAATCATATATTCAATAATTTTTTTTTTTAAAATCTTAGATTTGCAAGATTTCTAATTACGAACAAGGGTTTAGCTGACCCCCTTGCTTGTTTCTCTCTACCTTAGCTCCTTTCATGGCAAAAAATGGTCCTAAGGCTTAGTTTTAGTTCTATGTCAAATCCAATGCTTAGATTGAACAACTAACACTCAAAATATTGGATTTGTGAGGCTTGGAATATAGAAATAAGGTTTGGCCATTTTTAATAATAAAGGGGTTTGACCGAAAACTTCAAGAGCTTTGGATCAAGTAGATCTGAAGTTGAATTAAGAAATCTAGTTTAATATCTTTATAAAGTTTTTGCCATTTTGCGACTTTTTTAAGGAAACCCACGCTGGAGTCCCGTTTTGGTCAGTGAGGGGGACTCCAAAACTGATTTCTCTTGGGCCTCAAGGGTTGCGCCCTATCCATGGAGACTTGAGCATGTTTTTGATGAAATATTTCACATTTTCAGGCCTATGCACGTCTTATGGAGACATATTTGGCATGAGGGCAACTGAATAGCCTACAGCCTCGCTAAAGAAAGAGCACTACAAGACAGCACATAGGGGACATTTTTGACACCTTTTTGAGCTATATGCCTCATTGTATCTAAGGCTATCTCATTTTTTGTTATTTAGCATTTTTTGACATACAACCCTTTTTGCATAGAGCACCCAACCAGTGGGATGCCTTAACTGCTGCTTTTTCTTCTTTACACTCAACACAAATGTTAACAGTTTCAAGAGGGTGGGAGGGGGGGAATCCATCTTGTCTTTTTTCTTGTTAATGTTGTTGTATCTCCTTTAATTCAGTATTGTAGAAATCATGATTAAACTTAGTTGTAGCACTTAATGAACTCTTCACTTTAATATATGTCGATTTATGACTTTTATTAGTCCTGTTTTTCTTGAATTTATAGTTAGCTTTTCTGACACCACATAATATAGATCACTAGCTGGTTTCTCATATGTCCTAAACATTTGAATTTTGTGCTTCATAAGTTGAGTAATTTCTCATTCTTCTCTAAAAATTTCTCATTCTTCTCTAAGTAACAAGCATAAGCGTATGTGTGATAGGTAGCTTGTCAGAGTTTGGGTCCTTTGAAAAATGGTGGAGCGGTTGTTGGTGTTGACTTGAAGGTGGGAATATGATCTTGTAATTAATTGACTATGTTCTACGTTTAATGCTTGATGCCATAAGTTTATGACTTAACACGTCTTTCCATTTTGAACTTTGGTTTTCAGTACAGAAAGTCAAGGTCCCTCAGCTTCATTGTGATGCTCGAGTCCAAACTGTTTGTGCAGATGTTATGAACCTCATGAGGCCCCAAGCCAGAGCGCTCTCTCCTAAGGTTTTGCCATGACTGGCCCAATCACTTTTAATTTGAATTTTGATTGCCTTGCCTTAATTTCTTGGGTCCTTTGACATATTGATGAGAAATCAATTAGAAAGAAAAACACATTTATAAAACAGTAAGCGGTTAATAGTAGATTGATAAGAAAAGAAAGAAAGTAGAAAAGTAAAAGCGAAACATTATTTGGTTTAACTCTCTCACGCTGAACTAGTTCACACAGTTTAAATAGTAGAGTGACACGTGGCATATTGGTGGAGATGCTGATTTCTAATTGGTCCTAGGATTCTTAATAAAAAAATATCTAGCCCTAATGGTCTTCTAGATAAATCTCAAATATGTGCCAGTGTGTGCACGTATGAAAATTAAAACATCATGTGCTATATTACAAAATTAAGTCACATAACGCAACATACCACAAACACAAATAATTGACAAACAAACATCATACTAAAGGCACGCCACCCTCAGCCAGCATCACCCACATGTCATCAACGTGTGATGTTGTGGAGTCCATGGTGGTGCCATGTGTTAGGTCATATGGGTCCCATTGGCCACTTGGGCCCCACTTGTCATCCATGTGAGTGTTCTTATTTGTCATTTCTTGAAAACAAATTTTGAAAAATCATTTTTGCCTTTAAAAAAAATCTCAAAAGGTCTCCAAAAATCACTAAAACTCATTTCTAGGTATATTTCATCATCTTGAAATGATTTAGGATCTCATAACAATATTTGGAGGGGAATTAGGATTATTTAGGAAATGAAACTAGACAGCCGGGCTAGTCTTGGAACCCTAAATCATTTTCTCAAATTAACCCAACAAGCCCATGTCCAATTGACTTTAGCAGGGGCTCATGCCTGGCTTATCAAAATGAACTTAATAGATAGCTCGGCCCTAGACTTATAGTGGATTGCAGGTGCGCCACTAAGGACACAAACTCTTGTAGATCCGGGGTTCTCTCTCTAGTACATGTGCATAAATATTTCAACTAGATCATATTGTGAAGGAGTGGCTTCCCATTTGTGATTGTATATGCACATGCTGTGAGAAGGCTCGAGGCTTAGAGATTTGGCTTATGTCCTCCCGAAGCCTATCCTTCTCACACATGGCTCCTTAATTCTCGCAGTATGGCTAGAGCTACATATATTCTCTCATCCATTATTTCACACACAGTAATACACCCAGGCTTATACGATAATGAGGCACTTTGATACCGTCCCTGACAAGGGATAGCCCTCAATCCTCATGATCCAGGGTTTTGTGACTATAAGGACGCAAACTCCAGATATATTTCCTACAGATCAGGTAAGTCACGGGGTTCTTGTTTACTCTTGCTGTGAATGAGAACCATGAGGAAATATTGTTGTCGAGGCCTCGAAAGACCACAACTCCAATAGAGAACTCGGGTAATTCCCCAGTTTGAGACCATCTGTGCCAACTTGCCTGATTCTGAGTTTTCAACTACTGATGCCAACCATGACCATGAAAATGAAAAACAGAAATCGTTTGTAGGTGGTCATTAGCTGGAAAACCTTTTAAAAGAAAAAAATAGCACAAAATGAAAGATTTCAGGTTCAAAATTAAAAACTTGTGAAACTTGGGATTGATATCCTCAAAACCAGGATTTTGCCCCTAATTTTTAGTAGGGTCACGGTCCTCTTCTATTAGATCAAGATTCCTTTTAATTAGGGATCAAGACCCCTATAAGATAGGTGGGGGGGGGGGGGATTTCAATGGGGATCGTCACTCCCCAACCAGACTCTCCTCATCTATGAGTGAAATGCTTTAGTTATCCATCAAAGAGCCTCGATGGAGTATTGGAAGAAAAAATGCAGGGTTACTAAGAGAAAAGTGTTTGTCCAAATATATTGAAATTGTTTAATCAAATGGAATGGGTACTAAATGTGGTACAGCTTATTGTCATATTGCTCCCCTATGAACCTTGGAGATTGAACAAGTTTTGGTTCTAAAGGTCTTTGCAGGACCTCATCGTGTTCATGATTTCCTTAATATGAAGGCTAAAATTCTGCCAGATGCATGTTTTTTGTGTGCTTGTTTGACCATTAATAGTAGAAGGTGACCTACCGGGGATAGACAAGATACACTTCCCTTTTGGAGGATTCACTGGCATGTTCGAAGAGAGTCTCTTGATTGCTATTGGTTGCATCTCATTGAGGGTATCAATATTCAGAAAAACAGAGGCGGGTGCCTAGGCGGCCAGGGGAGTGCCTAGATACTCCTTCGCATGGGGCGGGGAGGGCACCTTGGCGATAGGCTATTTATTTCAAACAGAGACTTTTTTTTTGCGCTATGGTCTATTTATTTCAAACTAATATCCCATTCACTTCAAATGCATACATGAAGGAATATACACAATATTTTTTCACTTTTTCACACAAATTCTCTTTTGCGCTATAGTCTATTTATTTCAAACAGTAATAATATCCCATTCACTTCAAATGCATACATGAAGGAATATACACAATATTTTTTCACTTTTTCATACGATTTATTTGTTGTGCAATATGAAATGATATACTGCACTGATCCGTAGTCAAATTCTTTATAATTTTTTATGGGGTTTAGCCAATTACTTATTTTTCTTATAATTAATCTCCCATTCAACCAAAACATGCCACTCACCTCAATTTTTGAGGGTCCCTTCCACATTTAGTTCCAAATATCATCTAGACTGGTCCTTTTCTGCTTCTTGATTGGCTGTTTCCACCTCATGATCAGACCTCACCTTTTCTGCTTCTTGATTGGCTGTTTCCACCTCTTTCTTGAGATGTTCAATCTCTGTCTTAGCTTCATCCAGCATTTTCATATATTTCTCCTTGGTGGCTATAAGAACGACCTCTAATTCTGATTTTACCTCTAATTCTGATTTTACCTCTACAAGCTGAGCTCGAGTTACTGTGAGTTTTTCCTTTGCTTCTCGATTCTCTGACCTAACGATCATTTCAAAATCATGTTTAAAGAATGCCATCTTTCTTAATAATCAACGGAAATCACAACTCAATTCCTTAGGGTGTGAAAAGTACTCTTTTGTCCTTGTCCCCCCCTCCCCCACCCCAAAACAAAACAAAAAAAAAGGAAAAAAATTTCTGCCCTTTTAGGGTGTGAAAAGTACTCTTTTGTCCTTGGCCAAGGGCCTTTTCTGACCTCGGCCAAGTTGTTCCAAGGAGCTGCCTAGGAGCAAGGACACCCGCCTAGGTCCCACCTGGCCGAATTTTTGAACATTGGAGGCTTCCATTTAGTCCCTTGATTCTTTGGCTATCCTTGAGAATCTCTGATCTACTTTTTGTACCTTGCTGTGTTTGTAATGTTTTCTGCAATTAATAGAAATTACTTATCAAAAATGATAAAGGGAAAATGCTAGGTGTTATTCCACATCTTTCATGTTGATCATGTGCAACATGGTGCTCATGAAATGTTGGCTGCTTGTGACAACTGCATCACGTCCATTTTTGAAAACTATGATTCTTCTTAATTAAGCCTTAGTTCATGAAATTACTGTTCCTGCATTTTTGTTTGAATTTTCTCAATTGCTTTTGGATAGTTGAATATTCATTCAGCATATAGGAAAAAATATTTCACTATGTTGATATCTACCACTGATGATATGTTTGATTGAACTATGGGCTTGTTGCGACTACGGTTCAAAATTCATGTGTTTTAGAATAGTACTATAATCAATCATAATGCCTTCTTGGGCCATTAACAAGTGCAATCCACTGCCATCTATCTGTTGCATTTACTCTTGTTACCCATCTCCTTTCATCCTGTTTTCAATTGAATCATATTATGGTACCTTCCTCTATTTCAGGGAAATGGGTTTTCTGTGATACTCTCAGACATGTGTCCCCCGGTTTCTGGGATCCATACGAAAGATGCAGTTCTTTCCAGTGAGTTGGGGATGCGTGCACTTTTCTTGGCAATGGGCAGGTGCAGTATAACAGATTCCAGTTCTCTTGTTAGTTCTGAAGAAGTAATGGACAGTTCAGATGATGATGAAGATGGGGTCCTTAAGCCTGGTGGTCATATCATAATCAAGCTTCTTGAGAGTGAAGTGAGCCAAGGTAAGAAGTGTCTTAAGTATGTGCGTGTATGTGTTTTTCAGGTGATGGGGTGGGGGCTTGGTGGGTTATAATCCAATAGGACACCACTGCCAACAAAGTGACAGACAGTGCTGGAGAGGGGAAGGCTCACAATTAGGTTCATAGTTTGTTCCGGTAGGGCCCACTCTCTTCCTCCATTTTTTGCATAACTTTTCAATGGATGGGAGAGCTAATGGATTATGCCTTTGTCCATTGGGTTATAATATGTTCCCTTATATGTGTGGACTCTCTCTCTCTCTCTCTCTGTGCACGCATGCGTGTGTGTTTGTGCGTGTGACTCGAGCACTTTATCGAATTTCACACTTTATCGAATTTAAGGGGTGGTGTACTTAAAAATAGGGGATTTTTTTTCTTTGAGCTGTTACTTAAAAATAGGGGACTTATAGTAAACAAGGTGTATATCTGCCGTCCAAGGACTTCTCATAGTTAGTGCCGACCTTCATAAGATCAAGGCTACGGCTTTGCTTAATTTGTTTTTTCAATTAAAACTTGTGGCTTTCTTTTGAATGGCTTTATGCAGGGTTTCGCCATCTATGCAAACCTCGTTTCAAGAAAGTATCATGGTTAAGGCCGAAAGCAACAAGGTCTTCCTCTAGAGAAATCTACTTGATAGGTCAAGGCCTGAAATAGCATGCGATGGTTGTGTATCTACTCATGGACTTGGGTATTTTGGTATGGTTAGGGTGCTTGATCATTCGCTGATTGGGAGGTGCATTCTGGTTTTTGGAGCTGTTGATCAGGCATCCACATGAAAAGCTGCTCAGGGTATCCATTAAATTTGGCAGTCTAAGTGCAGACGCGGTGCAGCATGGTTCAATTTTGATAACACTAGAACACCATATGCATCAAAAGCAGTATGATGGGCTGAAATTCCCTGTGATATGTGTGTGTGTGAGAGAGAGAGAGAGAGAGAGAGAGAGAGAGAGAGAGAGAGAGAGAGAGTATATATAGTAAGTAGTACGTACGTACTTACTTACGTAGTGGTAGTTCTAGTGTGTACTATTAGTTACGTAACGTAAGTAACGTTACGTAGGTACTTACGTTACGTTACGTTTACT